TTATTTATTTATTTCAGGCAACTAGGACCCATAGATACATACCTTACGGACTAACATACATATAATATAACAATAATATAATAAAACAATAACAGAAATATTAAATAAATACCTTACGGACTAATCATAAATACAATATAACATGATAATAAACATATAACACTATTTATTTACACGTATGTACTTCGACGTGGGACGCAATGTGTGTGTCCGGTAGCCGTCCTCGGAAACGCCGGTACATAACACCCTTCGGCCAAAAGTCTTCTCTCATGAAGGTCGACAGGTGTTGAGTTGGTACTCGCACCACAAATGAATTAAAATTCACATTGTGGCGCGACTCCAACCGCTCGACCCTCAGGTTTGCGTTGGCCTTCACTCGCATGTACTCCACAATATCCGCAGACTTGGTGGAGTAATGAAGACGCGACACGTATAACAACGTCGTCGGTACCGCTGGACGCAATAAATGATTCGGGCCAGTCAGGGCGGTGCCACTAAGGTTTCGGCTGATGTTCTTCTTTTTCTTTTCCACCTTCCGAAAGCCGTCCTCGTCGCACTGATCAACTCGTCTCGGTGGTACTGACGACGCAGCTCCAGATACGAGTTTCTTTTTCGGTTTTCCCTTCATTGGCGGCCTGGGTTGTGGTTGTGAAGTACTGGGTCGGGCAGCGGCAACAGCTGCGTAATCACGTGAAGGGGTCGTCTCCGGTGGGGCGGGGTGCGGGGAAACGCGCGCGGCAACAGCGCCAGAGGTCGGTGACACATGCATGTGAGCCGACTCAAAACTGCTGAAAGAAGCATTTTGCGCCCCGCGACAAGTGTTCACGTTGCAGGCCTCAGGTGACCTACTTACCGAAGCCGCACTACTAAGTAATACAACTTGGGCACGCAACTCACTGATGGTGTTGTCTGAGGCCTCCAATTTACATTGAACTTCAGCAAGGCTTGCTTTTAGGGACGTGATGTCCTTCAGCAGCCTGGTGACGTCGACGTGGTCGAACGTGACAGGGGGCAGCTTATGCAGCTCCTTCGCCACGAATGCAGGCACGTCGTCTGGGTCGGTCTCCTTGAACAACGTAATGATGTCCTGGAGACTCTTCACTCCTCCATCTCTCCGACGAGACGGCATCTGCTCAGCTTTGCCAAACGTCCGGAAAAGCAGCGCTAAATGAATCTGAATCTGAATCTGAATCATGACTCACACTGAATCAGTCTTCTTCATAGTCTTCGCAACAAAGGTCATAATAGTACTTCTCTAGCTGTTTTTCAACCTGTCATATTTTTGTTTTCTTTATTTTTCATATATGTCTTTCGCCTTTTTACATTTGCTATTACCTTGTTCTTTTATTTTTTTTCATTTTTATTTTTCTTCTAAACGTTTGTATGGCGAAGCAGTCAAAATTTCACTTTTTTTAGTTCGGCGTTTTCTTGTTTGTTCTATATCTGATAGTGGAGCAAATTATATAGTAATTAGAACATTTTGTCAAAATAAGATTGTCTCCCTGCTAGAGAACTTGTATGGTTAAAAATATACTTGTCCGGTACTAAGGAATCAGATATCGTCCGAACGTAGGGACACACCATACCTAAGTAAAATTTCGATTGCAATAACGTTTATTAATATATTTGCCACAAAAGTATTTCAATGTAAAATGTACTTACCAATGATTAAAGAAAAGCAATACACGCAATGTATTCTCTCGAAATAGTAATTTATGATATTGCCAATATAGTCGATGCAACTGATTCCCACGCGAAATGTGTAACATGTCATCTGTAAATCGTCTCGAGCGAGACTAAGGCCTTTTACGCCGCGGGGGGTTTCTATCCGTTAAGTTTAACGTCTTTCTATAAACGGGAGCGAAAGAGCATTATTTCTTGTTTGGACTTAATCTGTCCGGTACGGTCTGTGCTGTCCAGCGCTAGGGGGATTCCCCCTACATCTATGTAGATTTAGGTGGTGGAGAACTTGGAGATTCGCAACACAGGTTTTTCCCTAGTGCAAACTCTAGCTCTCTCAAAGGAATCTTAATATTAAGTTTTTGTACCAAAACTTTTAACCTTTACAAAGATAAAGAGAGAAAGGTAGAGAGAGAGAGAGAGTAATAAATATTTTTGTATTTTTTGTATAATTTATGGCTCGAATATGTACGTGTCAGTATCATGTCGACAACATTCTGCAGTAGAGTACATGTTAGTTAACAACATGAAAAAAAAACTAAACACAAGCACAGTTATTTTGCACGATTTAACCTTCACCAAGTTTATTTTTTTATTATTATAGCAAATTAATTTATTTATATTTTTATTAATTATCATTTCAGAGCCTAATGGAGGTAACAAAGTTTTGCATGTTATATCTCGATACCTCTAATGAACAATATGCCACCTTAATTTTCGGACCTGATCTGTTTTTATTTTGTTGTTTGTTTCTAAATTTATTTTCACTTTTCAGCAATATTAGTAAATAAATATGGCTGTTTAAAAAACTAACAAAAAATGACGAAAAAATAGAGTAGGCATCGTGTTCATTGGAGGTATCGACAGAGAACAAATAAGTCATGAGAACGGACATCATCCGCTCCTCCCAAGCTTTAGACACCGCACCACGCCCCGCACATTGACTGAACGAGAACAAGGCTGTCAGCGAGCCGTTTTCGCGCTAAGACGGCTTTAAGATTTGAATAAAGTCTTCATTTACTCATTACGAAATTTGTACGTTAATATATAACATCATTTTACGTCACTATTTATAATGGTCGTGAATTGTGCTGTGTACGGCTGATTATAATCATCTGAACGGGATAAAGAGAGGAGTTTCTTTCGTTTTTTGAAAGATGAAACGTAGTAAGTAAATAACCTTATGTCTGAGACTCATTCAGTTATTGTTTTCTTTAGTGCAGAGTGCATAATACAGATTTATTGTATCAATATAATAAGACGCCATAACTTCGTGAGCTAGACAAGGGTTCTCGAATTTTCAATTTTTATTGACGATAAATATTACGAAGTGAATATACCTAATTATTAACTAGGTAATGATAAAGTTGAGCAAGCAAATTCAAATACTTTGGTTACCTTTTTTAAAGGTATCTGTCCAAAGTGCTTTTAATGTATATGTTTTAAATAAATTTTCAATATTATTCTAGTTAGTGAATTAATGAAAAATATAATATTATATCGATATAAATACGTAATGAACATTATATGTATAATATAATAATCCTAATATAATATAATATAATATTAGGATTTCATAATAGAATTATAGATAACAGTTTGCGTTAGATTTTTCGTTGTTGCCGCTCTGACCACGTAACGTAATAGCTCGAGCAAGTGATGGGTAACCCTGGCACTTCACGCACATATTTGCGCGTGTACAGATAGCGCCTTGCTGTATGTAGCAGTATAGGTAAATAATTTTCGAACGTTGTATGGAGTGTCCGGGGTTGTGGTATCGATCTATTTAAAAAAGGCGAGATTAACATATTGCACTTCAAGGCATATTTAATAAATAAAATATTTTATTTGTTTTTTACATTAATGTTGTATAACATTGTATTGTGTGTTATAATTTTATTGTACTGTTATTAAAAAATCTCACCTGTTCATTGGCAATAACGCTTTCAAAGTGTCTCATAAGCCAGCTGAGGAGACTGTAGTTACAGCTTGGTAGTCTGCTGATCAGTGTAAGCATGGAGGCTTCCCGCTGAGGCTCAGCGATGGCCGTCGCTTGCTCGAATTGACCATGTAGCTCTTGTGTCAGTATTGAATCCGGTAGCTCACTGGAACAAATAGTAGAAAATAAACATCGAACTTAGATTTTTGCGATTGCCTGGATAATTGTGGACTGAAATGAAAAGGAAATTATTTTTTCGAATTTAAATCAATAATTCTCAAAATGAGTAATTTCAAGTTAGTTTTCTCTACATAATTTCGGTGACAATTTTTATTATTCTAGAATGTTGTCGTGAAATATTATTTAATATTCGAGTGTAATAACCTGCAGTATTATTTCATATCTCACGATACTTAAAAAATGCCACCGAAATTAGGCACACAAAACTAACTTGAAAATTACCCACATTTGTTTTTACGGGCTTTTTGCTGGTCCTACGATGACGGCTGACTGGTTTCTTAACAATAAGCACACATACTTAGAACCGAAAAAAATATACTTTTATTTCTAGTGGCAAATAGAGACATTTATTTTACAATGTTTCAGCTGCAAAATTTGTTGTGAATACGATTTATTAGATTTTCTTTTAATCAAAGATAGGTCAAAGGTCCGTATATACATAGAAATCAAGAGAGTGCCAAGTGGTTTCTAATGTGTACAACACTTTTGAACAATAGTGCGCAACTCCATTATTCAATCAACTAAGAAAAATATCTAGGTATAGCCGTGATGTCACGCCCTAACTACAATCTGTGTATTTACGGATCTACGAAAAGCTCATGTTTGACCATAACCTGTCTTGCTGGAAAGTGCAAGATGTGAACGAAAGTAGTACAAGTTAAGCGACTTTTATTTACCTAATAAAGCTCTTGAGCATTGCGCAGGCGACGGGTACGTCCCAGTGATACGGGAATGTGTCTAAACGGTCCGTGTAAAGTTTACGCAACTGTTGAAATTTGATCTTGTCAGCTTCCGAGCGGTAGATTTGAGTAGACTTGAGTCCATGAGCCTGGAAGTTTAATATTGCCTATTTAGGAACACTTAGATTACAACAATATTTTTAATGAGCATTGGATGTAAGCTTTAAAGAGACTTGTGTGTATGTACCAATGGCGAAGGTTAAATAATGTGAAAGAGAGAGTAAGACATTTTTAATTTATTTATTGCATAACGTGGATACTAAATCCTTTATTCTGAAACATTATAATTATTTCCAAAAAAAAAACATGCAGACGCTTAGAACAAATTCTACATAAGAGGTTAATTTACACAAAAGAAAGTTTTCTTTTTGCTGTGATAGCAGCTAAAACCCTATTCATTTCCATTACACGTATTTTTTTGTAATTCAACGCCACTTAGTCAATTTGGAAGACTAATATTGAAACAGTTAAAGCTGTTATGTTGAACGTACTTGGAAAATCATGTCATAATTTTTGAAATAGTAGCGTTCGCATTGTTTTGTTGATCTTTTAGTTACATCATTTATTTCCAACAAGTTACAATATTTGTCATTGTACAAGGAAAAATCTCACAAGCCCATAAGTTACCTTCGCAAAGCAGCTTAACTGTAAATACAATTCGCTACAGGGTCGCCAGAGCAAAGGGTTGATCTTAAAGTCCAGTCGCAATTGGTTGTATAATTTATTGAATACCATGAAGAGATTTACCTCTCCGCCTACGGTTTCCGAAGCACTACGTAAATAGCAAAAAATAGTTTGCTGGACTTATGAAAACTGGTCACCCTACAAATGTCGTTTTACTCCGTCTTCAAAAAGACAGACTATAGTATAATACAATAGGTTATTCGCAGTACTTATTCTAGTCGGACAAAGTTGCGGGCACCAGCTAGTATAAAATATGTTTCAGTTCGTAATATCCGTTTCAAATTAAGTGCGCTCGATATCCATTCATAAAGGAGAATAATAGCACAATTATTGATTATAACTAGGCATTGTAAAAATACCTGATATCCAACACTATACCAAAGCGGAGAAAAGTGAAACCCTGATAGGATTTCGTTTCGTTGTTCTGACAACTCTTTTTCGACTAACGAAAACAACGGAGTGTTCGTTGACTAACCATATCTCTTCGATTTGGTTACAAATACGGCATTTCGTCGTAATATCTTTAACAAAGATACATCAACGTCGCAAGCAGTCATAAAGACAATTTAACATTTATAGCATAGTATTATTACAAATATGCAGTAGCATATATTATGTACCTATTTGTATTTGAATGTGAGTTGCAAATGACATACTAATCGTTATTAGAGAATAAGTTGGGAATATACTTAGATCTGTACTTGGACACTTTCAACACTTGTATTGCTTACTTAGTTAGTACTTATAAAGTTAGTTCATTAAATAAATGTCATCAAATCTGTGATTGTTATAATCAAATATCGATTGAATTTTGAACATAAAAAGTAAATATTGTTTACATATCGCAAAATAATCCTGGATTTTTTTAACCCACTATGAAATTATGATCCACAAACAAACTTGAGAAGAGCGTAATTTTAATCCAAACATGAATTTTTACATTCGTCCGTTTCATAGTAGTATTTACGTCATCTATAATTTTACTTTCCAGTTTATAATCGTGTACGTAATGGAGCTTTAGAAAAAGACGATCGGCTGTTTACGGCTTTGTTGACGTCGTATTTGTCACTCATACCTGTCACACATTTTCTCGCTAATTTGTCAGTCGTTGAATGAAAGTAGCCAATTATAGGTGACAGTATTTTTAAAAAAACTGGATGTGTTACATTTAAGGCCTGCTATTGTACGCATCTTTATCGTCTCGTATACAATAAAAATTCTATTAATTGCAATAAAAATACAATAATACCTGAAGATAATCGATGCTGTCCCTCACGACGAGCGGCAATCCCGTGTCGTCATGACATCGTGACCTCTCGACTGACTGTTGGAGGGGTACTCCGAAGATGGGCAGCGCAACTGCAACGTATTAACAATTTCATTGTACTTTATTGAATAACAACATCAATCACGACGAATATGAAAAGCTGCCTCCGGATTTATATGCTTGTTGTTGAGTACCAATAACCGGCCGTATATCATAACTGCACACATTAGTCATGTACTGAACACCGCGCAAGATACACTTCTTCGTTTGTTATTACAAATAGTAGGATTGTTTGCCTTGACCGCACAAACTTTCGCTCTTACCGCCTACTGTAAAGCCGTTTATAAAAGGATTCATTATATTTGATTTTTTTCCGTGGAAACAGTAACAAAAACAAAAATCAAGAGTATACTAAAAGAAAGTGTACGTGTGATGAATAAAAATATACGTTATAATAGCTGTTATCTTTAACCTTGGTTAAGGTTTATTTTGTTTCGGCAATGAAACAGATAATGGTACTTGATGTTTCACGGTTTATCGAGGTGTTTATGTGAAGGAATATGGCGTGAATAGGAACACGTAAAGGAATATGCGAATTAACAGTGCATTGAATACATATTGAGGTAAACATAATACATATACAACAAATTTTCAACAAACCGTAACTTCTAATCTTAAATGTAACTAGATTGCAAACAATAAAAGCTAACGAAGGCATGAGTTATACTAAAAACGGAACCGACGTAAAGAGAGTGACTCAAAATTAACAAAATTAAACCTGTTTGACCTCGTTCTAATACCGCGAGTGTCCGTTAAAGATGTAAATCCTAGAGACGATGACTTATTTTGTTGCAAATTTTATGACAAACTATCCTTTAGTGAAGAGACCTCTGCTGTAAGATTTTGTAACATAAACTCTTGTATTTTAATTATCAATAAATGACCCGTGTCCAACCGGTTCGTCGGTAATAATCAAGCCAGTATGAAAAAAAAACGGTATTTTTAAAAGCGAAAGAAGATAAATTATTTCCTGTTCCTACACTATTTAAGATTTTTTAGACCAAATTTTAGGGCTTTGTGTCGAATAATGTCTCTACAATGTCATAAATCCTAATAAAAACCAGAAATTTTATAGATATTCTAAAAATGGCGATAACTTCCATACTACTAAAGATAGCCCAATTTTACACCTATTATTGAACAGGTAATATGACCTATTCGACAGTTTTTTAGATCTCACAGTCTGGGACACCCAATTTTGGAGTAAAATCATTAAAGACAATCATATGTTTTATCTTTTCAGGGACAATGAAGGCCACGAATATTTTGTATCGGAAAAGCAACATTCCACTGAAATACAATGGGTAAATATAAATACGTGCATGCTTGGTACTAGAAAGTACACGTTGGTATATATATACTTCTATACTTGGAAGTGCGCCTTGGACTATGGCTTGATATACCCTTGATAGTTGAACGTGCGCCTTGGACTATGATTTCACAAAGTATTGGTAGTGAGCCTTTGTATTGACTAGCTGTTATTACAAAACCTTACTTAACGTCATTTCACGATTTTGGTTCAAATATCGTGTAACTTAAATAAAAATGGTCATTGTATTGAACATCTAAGACTAGAGGTCTTAAAATTATACAATACGAGTCAAATAGTGTAGCAATGTACACTTGTCGTCTATGAGTAGTAACATAACAAAATCAAAGCGATTGTGAAGTATACCACAATGACTTCATTGTAATAATTATTTATAAAAATTCTATTTACAAACCTTTTAATTGTTGACAAGAGCATTTAGGTCGCACTGGTTCGTTAGGGTTGGGTCGATTTGAGAATAAACAATGCGCCCGGTGCCATATGGCATAGCATAATAATTACCATGTCAACTATGACATTGATATCTGTGTTACGGTGAAGAGGAGACTTCATTAATAGGCAACACGTCAGATGTACCCGCAGGTGCGGTCTATACAATTGAGAGTATCAGTATAAAAGTTGTCTAACCCACATCTAAATTGTTTTTCTACAATATTATTTTAAATGATACCAGAATAAAAAAATATCTTATATTTGGACGTGTTTTCAAATAATATACGCGCCTCCACGCTGAGCAAGCACATACTGCAACTATATTATTTTGTTTAAAATAAAAATAAAAATATATGATTACTACGTAGGGCATATTATGATTGCTATGCACAAAATGAATTTGGCTAATTTTAATTCCTCTTTATATACATTTCATAGGGTTATACCACTTTTGCGTTGATAGCCTCAATTTTTTTATTATTTTATCGATTACGGAGTATTCTTATGCAATTAATGATATTGAATTTTATTGCATAAATACTCAACTTGCCTCAGATTAAATTCTCTAATTTGACATCAGGCTAAAAATGATTTTTAGGTATAAATTAAAAAAAAAAGTTCATAATTAGTCAGAATAGTCATTTGACTATTCGGCATGGTTCAGTATTTACTGAACCATGCCGAAATAAAATAACAATTCATAGTATACCACAGAATCAATACAATTAGTTCGTAACTAATTTACTTAAAACTTTATTTATTTATTAACTAATTTTCACATATAAGGTGAGAAATACAGTAGACAGTAATGACTGTGAACTTTGTCATTTGTCAACAAGATTATTTAGATAAAATAACTAAAGACATAAATGTCGAATAGACAAGGTTGGTGCTGGTAGGTTTGTCAAAGTAATAGCACTGGTATCACATCATCCGTATCAAACATCCGGAATCCTATACGAAATTTGTTTTTAATATACGCGCGGTATGAGGTAAATCTACTGACATTGTTAGATAACTGTAACATGTAAAATGATATATAGGCAAAGAAATATATATAAATACGATATAGTACGCAAAAATATATCGACTAAGGACAAATGACGCAGAGCTTCGAAACGCGGTCGTTAACGAGATATTAACATATATTTTGGTCAAATGGGTATGAACATTTAGTATGGAACAGCTGGTATTTTTTTCGTAATTTCAGAGGAATTCTCATAATAAAAGTACGTTTTTACTATGAGAATCCCTCGGAAATTGAGCTTTTTTAAATTTTTTGAATTGTTTTTGATAATTAAAAGTTACAAAAAGGGGAGATTTTAGATTTATTCTCACTCGTCAATTATTCTCGAAATGTATGACAGTTGCCGGTGCCCTCCATGTCAATTACTACGAGCACGATGGGCAAGTACAGTATAGCTGACATGTATAATTATAAGACATCTTTGTCACACCATACACTTACCTCCAAGAGTGAATATCTCTTCAAATGGAATACCAGAAGTCACGGTTGATGGCACCTTCGTCAATTTCTTGTCCTTCTTATCTTTGTCCTTTTCTTTGACTTTATCCTTATCTTTTAACTTTTCCTTATCTTTATCTTTAACCTTTTCCTTTTTCTCATCCTTTAGTTTTTCTTTTGATTCTAATTTGAATTTCGCCTTCTCCTCTTTCTCCTGGGGGTTAAAGTATAAGAAATATAATAACATACTGTGCAATTATAAAATCAGTATTAGCATTTGTTTTTTTGTTTCAGCTATTTTCATTTCTCCATGTTGAGGTTTGATTGAAATGAATATTTAAACTGAAAATGTATATTTGTTAAAAATGTATTAAAAGTTCATGTTCCGTGAAAGGGCTACATAAGTATTAATATACTTATTACTACTTATGACCTACTATTTAGTTTTTCTCCAACTACTATTATTATATTCACACATTTCAAAAAGAATCGCCACTTTTACAATTCAACTTACGATTTAACAACAATAACTCTGCGGAATAGACACCATTTATGCAATTGTGCATAATAAAATTCGCATAATATAATCCTGACACAGCCCTAAGTCGAAAAAAACAACAACTAAACTATCAATACATAAAGCGAAATACAAATCAAATAAGCATTTAAGTTGTGTAAACAAATATCACCTTAGTAAAAACACTCCGCAGGTGGTGCATGTCGCGGTATTAGCACGCAACTGAACCTAGTTTTTGTGTATTCGTATTTTCTGCTCATGAAGGTCGTATGTGAATTAGGAGCACAGAGAGTAGCTCGAGTATGTTTGTTTACTACACCTACTCCACAAGTGAAGAGATTTTTATGACTGATGATGACAAATTATTAAGTTACGATACCGGTACCTATTCGACATATCCCTGGGGACGTGGTTGTTATTTACTGGTTTGTAATCCGTGATCTAGTAGCGCCGGTATTAATTTTCATTAACTATTATCATAAGTACAAAGTTTATAACCACTTCGTTTATTAATTTGATATGGTTCCGGTAACAGTTACTAATTTACCGTAGAAGCGAACGTCACAAAGTGATGAAAATTCGATATTTAAGCAAGAGTGAGAATGTTCGAAATAATTCACGAGTGTATCAATATTAAAGTCACTTGTTCAAATCGATTGTTTAAATATCCGTCACAAATTCGAGTGTTTACAAAATTATATTGTTAAAAATGTATTTTATTTACGAACAAGTAATAAATATCTTATTTTTTGGTTTGTACACAGTACTTCACGCAAAGGAACTCGACGCAGCAGTGAAACGAGAAAAAATTGTCGCACTTCATTGGCTATACGACCACTATTTCATGACCTGCGACAGGTAAGAATTTCAATTAGTGTTTGACTAGCGCTCTTTAAAAAAAAGAGTCAAGTGTATGGGAATTATAAAATTACTACCTATTAAAATTAGTGTGAACATTTATTACTTTTTTTTATGAGCCTATATTGTCCCACTGCTGAACAAATTCCTCCCTTCCCGTCTCTCCACAGTTCTCTGTTTTGTGCCACTGAGATCCAGTCCTTTAGGTGCGCGTCTAGCTCGTCTCTCCATCGACGCATTGGCCTGCCGCATGGTCGTTCTCTACTTAGGGGATTCACTCTGTGGCGACCTTCGCCCACGACTCGTCTGACATGCGGCAGACGTGACCCACCCAATCCCATTTTAGTTTCCGGCTCGTTGGCCCACATCTACGATTCGTGTTTTGGAGCGCAGATAGTTCCTAATTCGGGCTGACAATTTTAATCCCAGGATGTTGCGCTCCATAGCTTGTTAGCAGACCCCAAGTTTGAACTTTTGCCGTGCTGTCAGTGACCATTTTGTGCGCCGTAGGTGAGGATGGGTAGAATACACACGTTCATGAGTTTTTTCTTGAGCGTGTGTGGTAAGTCGCATTTCACCATATGTTTCATAGACCAATAGCCCTTCTAGGCGTTTTCAGTGCTTCTTGTGATTTCAGCATCTTGTCTGCACTAAACGGATACTAAATGGCCTAAATACAAGTACTCATGCACATACTCATTCCCTCCATCCCCTACCTGTATTTTGTTCTCTGTGGAGTTGGTCATGAGTTTGGTTTTCGACCTGTTCATGCAGAGTCCAACCTTGAGGCTTGCGGTGTTGAGTTGGTTTAACATTGTGTCGAGTTCGGTAGCTGAGGAAGAGAAGAGAACAATGTCGTCGGCGAAACGTAGATTAGTCAATCTTTTTCCACCGACATCAATGCCCCTCCCTATCCAGCTGGGTGTTAGGTTAGTGTAAACATAATTAACAAAAATAAATAAATTTGTACATTTAAATGCCCCAAATATGTACGCGTAACATATGTAATTAATCTTAATTTAATAAAGCAAAATCATTTATAGTCTGTTTTGTTAAGACGGAGTAAAATGACGTTTGCATGGTTGCCAATTTTCGGATAATTTTAGATAGTTATGTAGATTTATCGACAGATTGTGAAAGGAGATAAATTAAAAAAAAAAATTACTATTAGTAAATGTTACGACGTTCTAAAGATGAATAATTGCGTTATCGCCATCTTTGATCATATTTTGACAGTAGACCCATTAGTAGGTATCAATTCGTGAAGCACAGACACACATTCGTATTCTAATGCAAATTATTGCCCTATTGTAGACTACAATTAAGTACAAATAAATAATCCGCGTAAAAGCGACGGTAGGTACAAGTAGCAACGGAAACATTTACAATCCTCTATGTCTATACATACATATATGGATATTTAAATTTATTCGTAATCATTAGTATAACATAGAATTTGAGCTCTAACGAAAATCCGGTATTTGATGAGTTTGATTTTGGAGTAAATGCTGCTTTTGTGTAGTTGTGATAAATAACATTATCAAATTGCTTATTTTTTTTTTAATAAATTTGTTTAGATTAAAGTATAAACCTGGATGGAGTCCTATTGGCACATTTTACTAAAACAATCATTTATACGCCAGTCAATGAAACAAGTTTGGCTATTTATTGCGTAAGCGTAATCAACGTTCAGTCGACAATAGGCAATATTCAGTAGGCAATAGTAGTTGGAATATTTATCAACTGCAGTCACTAGCTGATTATGAACTGGCAACACTTTTGCGGAATTAATTGTCATTTTAGTCCGTTCAACTAATAGAAACATAATTTAAAGCTGGCTATTAAGTAGCAGTACATTACATACTTTTTTAAATGGAGTTTTTATGCATCTCTGTTACAAAATAAGATTACTAGTTATTCTAGCTGTTGGGTACTAAAATTTATATTCAGTTGTTCACTAAGAATGATACAATGCATGATGATATAATGCACTATACATTTATTCATTAAATTATCGAAAAGTTTTTACGCAGATACAGATACCTCATCTCTAGCAGCTAGCTAGATGTGGTGTAATGAAGTAACCTTTCCACGTTGTCGTAAAAATTAATGAATTAAAATATATATATTTCCCCGCTCATTTCACACAAGTAATTACAGGGCACTCAGAAAATTTTGTGAAAAAATGTTTTTTTGTATGAAACACTGACCAGTTATTAGTTATTTATTTTGAAAATACGTTTATTTACTAGTAAAAACCCAAATGTTTCAATTTAAAATTTGCCTCTATATGTTTTACGAGTCAATTTGAAAAATAGTCTCTCCATCGTCGTTTATGAATAAAGGTCCCTCTAAGGCAATCGTGTGCCGTGTACGTATGAGAAACGAAGAAAAAATGGTCACCCTTTGCAGTGAAAAATTTAATTGAAGAGAATAGGCGAATCACATATTGCAGAGATTCAGCGCATATTACAGATCGGATCGGGAAGTGTTCATGATATTCTACACGAGGACCCGCGTGGAATGGTGCCGTAATCGGATCGGGAAGTGTTCATGATATTCTACACGAGCACCAGTGTGGAATGGTGCCGTAACATGATTGCTAAGCTTGAGGCAGGCTTATATTGGCGCGTTTACGATAATATTACAGGTTAAGAATCTTATATTTATCAATACGATCCAGAAATGACGCGCCAGTCGACGGCTTGGCAGTTTCAAATCGAGCCAACGCCTACCACAATTAAACGATCGAGAAGTGCAAAAAAGATTTTGATAGCTAGTTTTTTATTTTTACGAAATAAAAGTTGCATTAATACCGAATAGTATACCGCCAAATGTTTGCCAGAAGTGTTCAATGTTATGAGTAATACCGCGAACATCACCATGGCAACGCGTTCGCGCACTCGGCGCTCAAAACGAAGAACTTCCTGGACAGTACACTGGCTAAAAAGATTAAATTTAAAAAAATTATATATCCTTAAAACATTTTTTACTTTCGCAATATTTCCGAGTGTCCCACATATTAACTTAAACAAAGACCATTTATTTAAAAGCGAGGCTTACAAAAACGAAGTTATGAAGTTATAATGAGTTTATGGAATAAGTAAATGAGTGCACGTTGCAAGGTTATGTGGTTGGTTATATTGTGTAGATTTTTATGAACTTTATTGATTTTTAGTCATTGACTTACAAATAAATGGACGACGGGTCTAATACAAAAACTACGAAAAAAATGTCCCAAGTCAACCTATTTAAACGTAGTGACATGTCAAGGAATATGAAAAAGCTAAAACGTTGAATTTAAATTGTAATGTCATCGCAGTACTGTCTAATTTTGCTTGCTTAAAAGTGTACTTAGTATTGGAAACAAAAACATAGTTTTTATTGTACAAGAAGTTAAGGTCACAAAGTCACAGATCTTTCCAGGATGGTAGTGTTGCGGTCAGTGGCACGAGATTGTTCTGACAATGATTTTTTTGCGATGCTTAACTTACTGTTAACCCGACTGAAGTCAATTCAAAATGAAGGTTATTACTGTAGCAGGCGGCGAGAGACTTTATTTCCGTCATGGGGGATGATTCTGTGCCCTTGAGGTTTCTGTAATCTATATACAGGGCGCAGTAATTTCGTACAAAATAATAGTAAGATGCGGCGCATGCGATTCGTACTGTGCGGTTTAAAACGCATTCACTTTTAAAAGAGGTATTTATTGTGCCAATATATTAACTCGGGTTCGTATGGCCTCAGATAAATTTAGTCTATATATTTTATCTTCAAAATCCCTACCTTATGAATTATTTGTGTTTTCGTTGATAAAACTATTATTATGAATTCAAAATTCCTAATCGAGAAATCAATGCTGTCTTTTTTATATGTAAAATAGACGATGGTTTTCGGAAAACAGTAGGGCTAGCACGAAAACGCGCGACTTGCGCCAGAGCGACATAAAGCGCGAGATCACTATGCGAGAATAGCAGTATCTCGCACTCTATGTCGCATTCGCGTTAGCCACGTCCTGCCGTGCTAGTCCTACAGATACTGGGAGCCAATGTTTTGCCATAAGCGTCAGGCAATAAAGCAAAGAGTTTCGTGCGAATATGTGGAAAATCAATAACATAATGATGGAAAACTTTCTAGTAGTCCGAAATAGGAATAGTTAGGGTGGAAATACACTTATCAGCGGCGATCGAGAATTAGAAGCTTCGAGTCCACAAGAGAGTCGTTGCCAGTAATTAGTCTTATTATTTTTCGCTCCACCGAGTCGAAGGCAGCTAATGGTATAGGACAGAGCCGGCACAAAATAGGTAGAACAGTACACAACCGAATTTATGTTACTCATAATGTCCCAGCACAGAATATTATTAAGTTGTAACAACAAAACATGATTTATAATATTAGTCCGGGACGGGAATCACAAAGTGATGTTGTATATACCCGATATAGTGGTTCACACATAATAAAAAATCTATTTATCTTTGCCCTAGTCATGCTCCTAATTAAGATTTTGATTTGTTGTGGTTGCTGTACTAATGTAGTCTACCATAGTGGTAATGTAAACTTTAATTATCAAAGTGGGTTGTGAAAGAATCAAAGAATAAAAAAAATCCTACTTTGATTTCGAATCGGGTTTTGCCAGTAATGAAATTTTTGATTGAAATTTGTTTGAATGTTTTACGTTACATTGTACGAAACTTACAAACATTAATAATCAATAGTCAAATTAATTGATTACAAAGATATGACAAAAATAATAAAAACAACATTCTCGATTATTAAAAGGTACGATCTTGAGTATGCGATACTAAAAATGTTTTTTTTAAATATCATAAATTATATGAAGCAACATATTGTTTTGCATTTTTTATATTCAATATTTGTCTTGTTGTAAATTTGATATGAATCATATAATTCATGATGAGTAATTCCTAGATCTCAAGGAATTATTCAACTAGGTTTAAAAGCAAGAAGTAAAGGCCTAGTGGGACAGATCTAGGCTCCCTATTCAGGACCCCCAGTTCTATTCCCACTAACCCTGTGCCTGCATAGTGCCTCATCGTCTTTTTACATTCCAGTAGTACATCACTTGCTTTAATGGTGTAGGAAAATATCGCAACTCTTTGAAATTATGTGATGTCATGTTCAGGTTTTCATTGAACGCAGAGGAGTGGGATGTATATAGGATGACGATGATGATGAGATGATAATGATGATCAAAATGATTTATGCATGGAGTTACTATTTTTTTTACCAACATATGGTTATTGTTTTGATTAATCAAATAATGTTTTAAATAAAAAACATTATATGATTATTCAAACAAATTGAAGTTTATAAATAAAAAAAAGAAGGGCATTATTATAAAATGCATAAATAACATTACAAAAAACAAATACGAGGTCAATGGTTCGTAAAAACAATAGGAAGAAAACATAGCTAAACATTAAAACTCCAACTCAAATAGGTTCCTAATACATCATTGAACATGAAGTGTGTAAATACAACACAAACTTTATTCCCCTTAGTTTTTTTCAGTACTAGCTGCACAGTAGTTTCAATTCTCTCGTAAAGGGTTTACAGGTAAAAGTCTCCAGTATGTATATAATTAGACATACCCCAGTGCTCCAGTTTTGTACTGTCCACTAAAAAAGGTGTCTTACCTTATCCTTTTCTTTGAGTTTTTCTCGTTTCTCTTTTTCCTTTTTCTCTTTTTCTTTTTTCTCTTTTTCTCTTTCCCTCTCCCTTTCCTTTTCTTTTTTCTTTTCTTTTTCTGACAGTTCTTTCTGTTTTGTGGCGTCATCTAGTACTTTCTCTTTGTCACGGGACTTTTCTCTTTTTTCTTTACTTTTTGTAGGGAATTTGAATGATTTTGTTTTCTTTGACTTCGAAGGACTTCTGTTGGAATAAAGCTTATTAATTTACTTCCATAAATCACAAAATTATAACAATAAATTTGTATCTGACAGAGAGACATCATATACGGTTCTCCGTGATAGAATAAAAGTAGTATCTAACAATATATTGAAAAATACAACAACATTTTATAATTTTATTGTGCTGACTATACAGAGTTGTCCTATTTTATATGTCGCCACACGCCGACGTTATTCGTGCTAATGCATTATTATGCATTACTATACAGGGTGACAGGTAGAACGAGATAAATATTTAAAGAGGCGAATGAATAGCTGATACCCATAACGAATATGTAAAAAAATAACCTTATTTTTAAATAATTTTCTCTAAAGAAAATAATGCCTCTAACATTTTGTAATACTCTGCGCAAGATCGAACACGCAGCGAATGCCCGCTACCCTTACCGGCGCACGCTTTCCCACGGGTTTCGCACCCCCGCTCATTGAAGCGCCGGCCACTGGCTACCCGTTAGTATGCTTGCGCTCTTGTATTAGATGTGGGACGTTCGTCACGTATCAATATTTAAAAAGGCAAACGAGCCTTTTTAAATATTTATCTCGTTCAACCTGACACCCTCTATAATACATTAATTTCGTATCATAGCCTCAAAGCAAAAACATTTTTAAGATACGAGAAGTGTTGGCGAAAGTCACTGATTATATTAGTATACATCAAAAAACTACTTGGTCAATTTTATTTCGGTTATATTTACTGCTCAATTATAAATATATCTCTATCATATAACGCGTACTGTCGTCGGTCACATCGTCGCTTAACATCAGGTGAGATTGTGGCCAAGCGTGTGTCTATTATTTATTTAAAAAAGCCACAATGCACTGTTAAGGCCCTAGTCAGCGTTCTGATGCCATTTCTGTCCAGTGCCAGAATTAGTATTTAGCGCTGTGGGCAGCTGTTAGGGCTGTTTTGGCAGTGGGTTCTAACTGTGATCACTATGTCATCCGCATATCCTTGAGTGTCAATATTCAGTTCGGCCAGCCTATACACAAGCTGATCCTCAACAAAATTCCACAAGAAAGGACAAACACATCACCCTGCGGGCAGCCCCTTGCTGTGGAGGTCGTAAGCTGGTCCTCGTATAACGAGATAGTGGTCCTGCGGCTAAAAAGCATGTTTTGCACACATAGAGCAGTAGAAGACTACGCCTTTGCAGGTTAATCCCTTTACTAGTGTAGGAATAGGTGTATTGTCAAAACCATCCTCAATGTCTAGAAAGGCAGACAGTGCTATTGTTTGTCCTCAAATGATCTCTCGACCCTGTCAACAAGGAGGGCTGTCTCTGAGGATTTTCTACGTGTGTTGAATGTGGTGGGTAGTACGGTATATTAAGGACGAAGCCTTAACGTAATTGTCTAGTCTTTTGTCCATTACCTTCAGCAAGAATAAATTTAGCCAAATTGAGCTAAAGGACTTGGCAAGAGGGAAGTTTACCTGCACATTCAATGAAATTTTACAAAGCCCAGGTCCTTGCAAAAGAAGTCCGTTATCTATCCAGTATTACCTCTGATGAAAAATCCCAAACAGACATAAGACTGCAGTACTAATTAATATATTTAATTTATTCTAATTTCCATTATTAATTAATAATAAATTTACGTTAATAAAAATTCACATTGATCTAATAAAATAACTTATAAAACAATATAGCGTAAATTCGAATGTTTCTTTGTAAAATTAAAAATAAGGTATTTAATTAATAACTTTTGTAACTATAGTGGAAAAATAGGGTAGTTTGCATTAATATTATACATAACTGGTTGATGACTGTACCATCTCAGTCAACCGTGATAATGAGACCTGTAAAGGGCCCGAAATGTTGGTTTGTTTGAAAAAACAAATATACGAGATTTAAATCCGGAAGAATAGTTTCATTTCCTGTGTAACAATCTTTTTATTATATTTTAATTCTGTCTTTCTTTGGTATAAAGACAACTTTATACATTGCCTATCGCTTGGTATGTGCCCCCAGGCGAGACTGGTTCTGTATACCTTGACCTGGTACGGCAAGAGCACTTATGGGCATAAGCTAATAATACTGCATTAAGATGGGAGTAATACTCTCCTCACCTGAGGATTTATATGATATAAACGAGTATATGGCTCAAGCAACTTGTCGGAGTCTTATTATATTGGCAGCTCTGTTCCAGTCCACATTATGAGGTGTGTGTGGACGAGTCAATGTTTGGCTAGTGGACGAGTCACACAAGGCCCCTGGGAAGTGGGATGACATTAAAAGCTCAAGTATTTCTGTCGTAGAAATAGAGTAAGCCCCATCGGGTTTTTTAAACAGCCTTAGTTGATGAGTTGGCCTTGGCAGACACTTCGATTCCGTATTATTTATTCATTATCCATAACAACATACATTGTGTCGGAAAAAAGATTATAATGTAATGAAATTGTAATAATTATTCCAATTCATATTTAACAAACACATAACAAGTAATATGACTTATATAACAATGTCAAAATGCTACAATTAAATGTTACAATGTCAAAATTGGATAAATTCGTCAATATGATAGAATGATTTTTTCAGTAAGAAATGTTTCAAGGATTTTTTAAAAACATTTGGATCCGTTTCCATTTTTAAATCAAGAGGCAGACTGTTGAACACTTTTGATGTTTGATACCTTGGACTATGTTTTATAATATTTAATGTAGGTGCTATAAGACCACATCTGTCTTTACGTCTAGTCGCAAGCCGCTTTGACTCAGTAACCGAGTCATAATATTGAGCCGAACACCCAGGCACTCCTGTTAGCAATTCCAAAATATAAAGGCAAGGAACCGTTAAAATCGACAATTGTCCAAAATATGGTCTGCAAGACTCCCATGGAGGTAATCTAAGTATAGTTCGTATCGCTCTTTTCTGCAGAGTGAATGCCTTCTTTACATTGTAATCATAGCTATTTCCCCAAAACCTAATACTATACCTTAGATGTGACTCTACCAAAGCATGGTATACCGATTTTAAGTCCCAAATAGGCACCTCATCCCGCAGTGATCGTAGAGCATAACATGCTGAGCTTATTTTATTATCTAGTTTACTAATTTCTTCTTTCCAGTTCAGGTACGAGTCAATGTAAACTCCCAGGAATTTTACAGATTCTACAAGTGGTATTATTTTATTATTCATCTTGATTTCCATGCATTTGAGGTTTCTCGGTGTTGTTCTAAATAACAAAGCGTTTGTCTTGCTCGCGTTAATTAAAAGGTCATTACTTTTGAACCACATGTCAAATGCTGAAAGTACTTCATTCGTTTTAAGCTCAAGATCGTCTAGATTCTCGGCTGCAATGACAGCATTGGTATCATCAGCAAAGATGACTAACTTTACATCCGAGAATTCATTATCAATAAATTTGATTAGGTCATTCATAAAAATAATAAATAGGACCGGGCCCAAAACTGAGCCCTGTGGTATGCCTCTCTTCAAATTAACGGCCCCCGATTCATACCTTACCAGTTCCTCAGTCTCCACACCGCCTATCTCTACGAACTGGTATCTGTCACTAAGAAAAGATTGGAATAAATGCAATGCTTTTCCACGCACACCACAAAGCTCCAATTTTCTCACAAGAGCCACATGACTAACGGTGTCGAAAGCGGAACTCAGATCAAGGAAGAGTCCCGAAACTTTCTTTTTCTCATTTAGGAACACTATGACATCATCAATAAGGGTATGTACTGCATCCTTAGTACCTTTGTTCCTTTGATACCCAAATTGACGTTCATTTATGATGTTATGCTTTTCAAGGTGTTTAAGCAAGCGAGCCTTCATAAGCTTTTCAAATATCTTCGCTAATACTGGTAGCAAAGATATAGGTCTATAGTTCCTTGGATCAGTTCTTATGCCCTTTTTGTATATAGGAATTATCTTTGCTATTTTTAGTTGTGCCGGAAAAACACTCTGTTCGCAGCATCCGTCGTAGAACAGTGACAAAGGATATGCTAGGAGGTCTATGTTATCCTGGATAATGACAATGGGCATTTCATCATAACCAGCTGATTTCCTTTTTTCCATCTTCCTGACTATCGTCCGCACTTCTAAAGGAGTAATCGGCTCCCACTATGGAAATGTGCACCTTGAGGAGCATCTGCAATTTCCGCACAGAACTGCCTCCACTATTGCTTGACCTTGCCATAGGTTTCCCATTCCTTCATTCGCTTGACCCTATTGAAGAGGTTTTTTCTCTCAGCTTTTTGAGCTTCAAATTACACAACTGAAGCTACCTCATGCAGGTGGTTTCAAAAGATGGTATATTAGCCGAAGTTAGTCGAATATTAGTTATTAATTTCATAACACTATTTAGATACTTAACCGGACAGATGACTAATTTCCTTATAAAAGGCTAATTACACTTCATTCTGCAATAATGTCAGTAAAATATATATATATATATATATATATATATATATATATATATAAGTAAAATATTTATTAAGGGTCAGTGCTACTATTATTACTAGGGTGGTTTCTTTCAGGGCCTATGCATCCCCTCATCACTGCGACCATTGACTGATCTATTATTATTATTATTATTAGGGTGGCTTCATTAAGTGCCTATGTATCCCACTCATCACTGTGACCATTGACTGATCTATTGTGATCACCACTAAATACAGCACAGAGCCAAGGCCGAGAGCATTGAAAAACTGAAGGACTTTCCTGGTTCAGGCAGATTTAATGTCCTCTGGTTGTGGTATATGCCTTCCCAGTACGGAACTTCGTACACCCATCAGGGGTAGCATTAGGTGAGTAGATGAACGGGAGTTTCATACGCCTTGTGGCAGAATCTACATTCTCTATTATCTCTCTGCCCAATATTTGACATATGCTTGTTCAAGTCACAATGCCCTGTTAAGGCTCTTAACTGGGCATTGGCATATATTAAGGCTAAGGTTAAGTGAGCATTCTTATGCCATTCCTGTCCAATGACAGAGCTACTCAACAGTGTTTGGCCCTGCAGGCAGATATCAGGGCTTTTGAATGCTCAAGGTCCTTCCTCTGCAGATGCACTTCTCGGAAGAGGTGTGTGCTCTCATTTAGCAGAGTGAGCTTTGCCAGGCTGTATGCTATCCCTATGAAGGGTTCGGGTCCAATAAAGGTTTCCCTAGCACCAGCCTTTGCCAGTTCATCCGCTGATTCATTACCATCAATGTCAGAGTGGCCTGGAACCCAGCACAGGACCACTGTATTACTTTCCCTGAGAGTATACCATAGGAGCCTACCATCCTTCCAGGTGAGACTGTTAGTTTCCCAGTCCTCTCTTGTTGGAAATTCTACCTTTGTAGAGTTTTTTAAAGTTTTGTTTGGGAAGCATGACAACAGAAGTCATTCCCAGAACAGAGTGTTCCAGTTTGATGTAGGGTTATCCCTAAATATTTGACTACTGCAGAAAAACCCACAGCCCTGATACCAAAAATCGGTTTTGCTAACTTGTCTAGTTTCCGACTCCTGGTGAAGTCATTAATAGATAATTCATTATCTTGACATCACACAGAAACAGTGTTAAGTGCTCCTTTTGGCAGTGCCCTCAAGAGTCAGTAACTTCCTTATAATTTTTCTTTGTATTGACTGTATGTAATATACGTAACGCAAATAATAATAATAATGGAATTTATTTTATGTGTGTTCTTAAAATGACTCTTCATTACCCGACATTGAAACAGAGCTTAGAGGTTTTCAACTGATTGTGAAGATAACCATATGTCTAACAGAACATCCTTTAAATTTTTAAATGCTAATAGATCTTATTTTGCTAATAGTAAAGATAAATTTACTTAGTGTCTGTATCCTCCTCAGGAGAACTTTCTCCCTCAAGTGCAGCATAACCCCTGTCTTTCTTTTCTTTTTTGTCCTTCCGTCGCCCCAGTAAGTCTTTCTTGCTGGGTTTCTCGTGGTCTCCACCATCACTGACTGGAAGATATTATTTTTACATATTTGGTTATAGTGTTGCATACTAGTTCATGACATTTTAAAATTATGTACATAACATTCAGCTAAATTAAATGATTTGTAATTTACTTTAAGAAGATCCTGCGTAATATTGGCACAATATTGGGGTGTAATTATGATTTCGCTCTTATAGTGACGTGTTTTAGGACTGTTCAAGACATCATTGGACTTCTTAATAACAGATATTAATAAGGTTTTTAACTAATTATGATATATTATATTATATAATATTATGAACTAAATTAAAAGTGAATAAATGCCAATCGTGTCATTGTCATCTTGATGTAATACAAGGTTTTTGGGCTAAAATCTTAAAAACTACTTATAGAAAAAATCAAGACACTTACAATCGCTTTCGTTACTTTTACGTCCTGTTTCTGAGGCATATAAACCGGGAAAATCTTTCTCTACATCAGGACTTTCAAAATCCATATTTTATTCAGATTATTTACTTTCGTTACAAAAATCAACAAAATTACGTAGCGGTGAATTGGCTTTGGCTTTGATTTGATAATTATACAATGACGCCGCTAAACTTTAAGAGTAAACTACCGAGAGTATAAACTTTATTCTACTTGTGCGACTTTTTTTCAGCGATATATGAGCCAAATTTGTATAAAAAAAACACATCTGACTGCTGATATTCGGGTACACCAACATTGCTGAGAAAAGAGGGAAATTGAAAAATGGATTATACATAATATTTTATATATTTTTACTCTTGTTTTAATACTATCCATACTATACAGATAAACTATATTTCGGAAATATTGCAAACATTCCGGAAAAATGGTGTAAAATCTTTGTCATATAAACGATATTGATTTAAACTGTTCCATTTGAAAGGAACCTCACTTCGCTGTCTTTTTATTTCAGTATTGTCAGAACTGCTAAGTGAGTGTGTATTGTTTACGTGTACACAGTCAAGTGCATTTATAAAAAAAATAGGGTTTTTCAACTTTGATATAAAATTATGAAATGATTACTGCCTACTTTTTCTCTATGTTTGGTATGCATTTATTTTTCATTATTATTATTTTAACAGGGGTATTGTAAAGTCGCTGTTGCGTCCCGCACAGTATAATTTATTGAGCAATATAAATTATGTTCATTGCATACATAAATGCCTTCTGAAGTTTGACAGTACAACATAGAGATATTATTGTTTAATTATTTCAGGCAAAACGTAAATTTATTTCAATGTCGTGGTTCGCGGATCTCGCTGGCAAGGCGGAACATCTTCTCAATAACTTAGACGAACAAACCGGCGTGGTTCTGCGTAACCATAGTGTGACTAAATCACAAAAAAAGGATCGCAACGAATACGCTTCTCGTCCAGATCGACCGTGGAATCAATCGACGAGAAAGCAGCCAATAGCTCGTTCGCCTAAGAAGTTGTCGGTAGATGTGAGAGCTAGCTATGTACCAACGAAGAATTTATCTCCAACATTTCCACCGAATTCACAAAGTCACACAAACTCAAGATGCTTTACTAGAAATGGCTCACCGCCACAGACAAGAAAAACGCAATTTAATCTCCACAATTGTCCTAGAACATTGGTGGGCGATGTGAAGGACGGAGACAGTTATAGAGAGAATTATGGGTATAAACCTTCAAAGAGACGTAAGATTTTTATTGTTCACTTTCTCGTAGCTAATGTATATTTTATTGTTTATAGTTACATTTTATTAATTAACAGGATTTAGTCTGCCAAATGACCTTGATGCTGTCACCACCGAAGACTCATTCTCAATTAAATTGGAAAATTTAGAAGTAGAAAATGCCATGCTTAAGAATGAACTCAATGTAACCAACAGGGAATTAGGAGAATTACTGGAAAGGCTCCGGAAAACAGAGGATGGTGAGAATGTAGTTAGCAGTAGTGAAGGTATAATAGTTTTTTAAACAAATTATTACTCTTTCAAACTTATTATTAAATCTTGAAGAATTCAATTTTCTAGTTAGTGGCGTGTAGTAAGGTTGACTTACCATTATGTAAAAAAAAAGTAGAGTAATCAATAATAAAATTGCTATAAAATGGTTAGTGGAGCGAGTACAAATGTTTACATGTAACCCAAGTGGACCCAAGCGATTTAAATCCGGAAAAATAGTTTCATTATCTATTTATTATGTTCAATAACAGATAAGATAGCCTTAGACATCTAAAATAATGGTCCTGCTAAAACTAAATAAAAAATACTTGCAAACAATACTGTAGTAAGAACTTAAGTATTGCTTGCAGATATTATATTCTAACAGTGTGGATATATGTAATATACCCACCATAATCACAGATTATTTAATAGTTACTACCATAATCTACTTTTACTTGCAGACTGGTATATGTAATAATAATAATAATAATGCACACATTCAACATATAGGAAACCCTGTGTCGCGGGTACCATGGTCACACACATAGACAACAATAAATTACATTCAAACTCACGATAGAAATAAATATAAGCTATACTAATATTTCTCCCGGCCCGGGAATCTAACGTGGGACCACTGCGTGGAAGTCTGGCTTAGTAACCGTTCGGTCATGGAGGCCTTTTGTGGAAAATGTCACTTATATGGTTTTACCTTTAAACAGATGATATATATAATTTTATTTATAATAATGTTAAGTTTAAAAAATATCTATTTTAAAGAGCCAAAAAGTTTGGGAATCTATGAAATAAATTTACGATTATATTTTTGGATCTTTAGAGATAGCAGTGAACTTATTAAAACTATTGACATTTTTTCTGCACTTAAAGACACAGTTTCTTTAAAGTTCATATGTTATTTTTGTATTCTGAAATGACTATGTCGTGTACTCTTTTGTTACATACAAAATCAAAATATTGGCTTTGTCAGATTGACATATAAAAGGCCAGGGTATGTCAGGTTGGGAGTTTTTTTTTTTGTTTTACTTTTAGGGGATGGAAAAAAATAAAGGAAAAGATAGCTGCCTTAACTACAGAATGAAGTGCTTACTTAAACAAATATTTAACGCTATAAATGGTGGCTTTCTTAAGTGTTGTACCATAATCTGTCGATAAGTCATTATCAACATGCAAATGTATGGCTTAAATGTTCAAACTGTTTTTTTTTGTTTCTTTAGTTTATTGTAATCAACAAAAAATCGGAAACCAGGGGATAATTTTGTTTTCAGGAACTGAGAATGCCTAGTAAATGAGTCTTGTTGAATCTAAATTAAATATAAAATTATTTACCAATAAACCTAATGATGGAATTGCATTATCATGTAATCTAGTTACATTCAAAGTTCTGTTAAAATTTGACTCTTCAAAATGAAATGAATAAATGAAGATGGCCTTTGATCGAATGTTTATAATCGTTAGTCATGATTTTCAACCATTCTTTTTTGCCTTTCATTTGTATGTAAATTTGAAATAGTAAAAATCATAAAAAAAAAAATAATAAAACAATAAAAACCACTTATCGAATTGTTTTAATAACAGAATATCTATAATATGTACGCTTATAAGAACAACACTATCACAAAACAATAATTAACAACAATCATCAAAATATACAAAGTAGGCAATCTGAAGTAATCAAATCAAAATTTGGCAAGCTTTATGAATAAACTACTTAAATAAGTCTAATTACATGAGATATTTGGTCTATTGTGTGATTTATAGCCAGAAAAATAACCATCCCTGTGCAATGTTACATTCGGTTGATTTTCGCTTTTGCTAATGCCACATCCCTTAATGCAGCGACGCATTTTTATTAATACCTAATTGTTTTCACTGTCAATATTTTTATTCATTTTATTACTATCCATGCAAATAATTCAATAAAACACTTGGAAAAACATTTGTTTTGACATTTGATGTAGTTTTTGACAACCGCATCATGTACTTCATGTACTGCGAAATGAACACAGTTAGCATTTAAGGTGACATAACGTATTTTCGATTCCCGTGTTTGGCACAGACCAATGTAATGCTATCTCTTTTGGCTTCCGACGTCACGCAGTAGTGTTAGACAAAGACAATAACATGTTTATGTTTTCAATGTCGAGATGCATCATATACATACAACGTCTGATTTATATATGTCAACATTTATGTCCTTTGGTTTCCATAGTTTAAGGTGTAAAATGTCATATGACAAGGTTTCAATTTTTTTTACAACACTTTATGTAGTAAAAATAGGAATTATAATGCATGTGTTTGATTTCAGAGCTTTTAAAAACCAATACGAAATTAGAATCATGTGAAGTTACAATCCATAAAACTAATGTGGACAAAGAGACCCTCAGCGCACATATTGAAAATTTGAAAATACAGATTAATAATCTCACAAATGTCGAAATCGCTAAATACAAGGATCTCAAACGAGAACTTGAGATGGAGGTGACTAAATTGAAAGAACGAAACGTGGATCTAGAAGAATTGTATGTATACAAGTATTTTAATTTTTTTTTATTAAGAATTTCCGTCTTAAGTGCAAATTTATGTACATAAGTAATTTATGTATTTTATCATTCTCATTTCATTGATTAACGATAATGACGTTATTACATGCGCAAATAGTGACATCCTTGTAATTATAATAATAGGAAGTTGTTATGCAGATATAATCTGATCATTGATCGCCTCAAATTCATAAAACTGTAAATTTTTCCATAGTATGGTTATACACTGACTGTTTGCAGTTGGATTATTTCTGCAGATCTTATGTCTTAAGTTGAAATTAAAATTTAAACAGTGGGTATCTCTAATAATTTTTCTATTTATATTTAAATATTCATGATACCTTTAATAGGTATGTAATTTGAGCTGGATGGATGTGGTGTCTTTCACTAATATACATACAGTGTACTAATTGAGTTCTGATCCATTGTGGTTTTTCTAGGAAATCCTATAATAATTTAGCCCTTATCTATCGTAATTATCATTGCGTGGGACTTATAACTGACAGGCCAAGTAATTTTGGACAATCTATACATTTTGTTAGTAACAGCGACAAATAATAAGTAGATTTTTTTAAGCTACATTAACAATATGCGCTTGTCACAACAGAGATTTTCCTGCTGTGTTTCATGAAAATTTGTAACATTATACAATATTTTTATTTTATATGCTGGGCTGGCGCGATATTGTATTGACATTTTTATTGTATTTTTGCGTATCACGCCATGCGATTTTGGAACCTTTAAATTGTATCGCAAATGCGTATGTATGGTTATCATTATCGCAGGCTAGATTCTGATAAAGTAGGTTTCGTTTCACTATTTTCCTACACATTCAGTGAAATTAAGACATAAATTCTCTGATGTATTAAATGTTTTCTCTGCGATGTATATTAAAAAAATAGTGATTTCCAAATTTTTCTCTTGCAGTAACCCCAGCACTTGTGTAAAGAAGATGTATTTGGTGTTGTGCTTTATTGTTATTTCTTATATAGGCCTATCTGTCATTGCAGTTGTATTTTATCACGGCTGTAACATTCCTAAAAAAGATGAATAAATGCTCTAAAAGCTTTATGTTCCATTTTATTGATTACAATAGAACCAAGAATGAATTGCCAGTGAAGGACGAGGACGAGCGAAAGTTGCATGACTTAAAACTAATATTCTGTTAATTTTAAAATCAACTGTTACTGAACATTTCCTACATGTAAGTTTCCTCACATTGGTTTCCTTCACCATTGAAACAAGTGGTAATCAGTAACGAAAATGCACTCTATTCTAAGTGAGACCGGCCTGTGTCAGAGAAAAACCAAAGATTGACATTTTGTAAATGACACTTATCTAGAATTGTATGTATGTCTTAGGTCTTAATTTGCCAGTTTCTCGTTCAATCATTTAGTTTCATAATTACACATGCTCGAAAAGTCGTAATCTTTAATCAAAGAGAGCCCATCTGTATGCAAATTATTCAATACAATTGTGTAATAAAATTTTAGATTTGGTATAAATTAAAAAAAAAATAACTATGACCTAAGAAATAATACAGATTTCTTTATCTGAAGAAACTTAATTTGGTACTTGTCAACCAACGATTCGTTGCCCGTGGTCCTACTGCGTAGTCTTACTAGTAGTACCAAGGGCAATGTTTTTGTCCGGGGTTCTACCAGTAACTACGGGCAAGTAACGATAATATTGTATGGGCATCGGACCTACGGATCGGGTAGTACAGTCATCGTCAATATTAATAATGGTACTGGTCTGAGCTAGCTACAATTGTTCTCTAAGATGATCTCTGTGACAGTGCATAAAAATCGCAAGATATAATCTTGCAATAACGTGCACAGTTTAATGTATTCTATAAATTAATTTTGTAAGTATCGCTTTTAAGTGAAAATATTACATGATGCGTGCAGTCACTGAAGAGCGCCCCAGCTGGCTTTAAAACCCAACTTCATATCTACTTTGGAATGGCGACTGACCAGGTCAGCTAATTGGGTCTAGGTTATTTCACATAAGACTAAGTTCTAAGTATTCCAGTAACCAGGGCCCCAGGCCAACCTCGCCGCCACGTGATGCACCCTGCACATAGCGAAAGGGGTTCAGGCCACACTTTAAACAGAGTATTCCCAAGGAGGATTAACGGCAGACAGGCGGCCGGTCATGAAATACCATGTCAAATCAGTTTACAACGCGTATTCGCATGAAATACGTGTTGTGCTGACCCCACCGAGCACAGGATAAGAAAAGGAAGAAGATTAGTTGCGCCAACTTTTGTAATAAGTTAACATGGTGATTATATTTTTTTGGTTTGCCTTAAAATGATTTTCGTTAACAATTTCAAGAAAATATTAAAACACAATTATTTTTTTATGATAAAACTATAGCCATTAGGTTTTTTTTTCCGCATTGTGATCATTAGCTAGACTATTTGGGTTACCGTTACAAAATATTGAACAGTAAAATTTGTGAATTTATGAAAAAATTGTTTATAGGAGACATTTTCAACATTTTTCAAAAGAAAGCTCATTGTGAAAAAAATGGCGTCCGATTTTATTTAACTCAGCTTGTCCAAAGCATGTCCTACAGAAATTTCGGAATTTATTAGTCCCATCTGAACTAAAATTATAAATGCGTCGTTCTTAATCAACACGCGATCTTGTTTGGTTTTTAATATTGTGTTTTAATTTGGCTTCGAAATCAAAATTTTGTAAAATGCTTAAGAACAATAGATACATTCACTACGTCACTTTACAACAAATACCTTCATTTTACAACGACTTAGAGACGACTTACGAGAATATGCGTTGTAAGCGGAGTTGGTATGGTGTATTATGACCGGCCGCCTTCCTGCCGTCAACCCTCCTTGGAAATACTTTGTTTAAAGCGTGGCCAGAGCCCCTTTCGCTGTGTGCACTGCGTGCAGGCGAGGATGGCTTGGGGTAGGCCAACCCTGGTAACTGGAATACTTATAATTTATAGTCTTATTTCACCCTCGACCGAGTTAGCTGACCTGGTCAGTCGCCATTCAAAGTAGATATGAAGTTGGGTTTTAAAGCCAGCTGCGCGCCCTTCAGCGACTGCACGCACCATACAATATTTTCACTTAAAAGCGATACTTACAAAAATAATTTATAAAATACATTTACTGTGCACGTTATTACAAGATTATATCTTGCGATTTTTTATGCACTGTCACAGGGATCATCCTAGAGAACAATTGTAGTTAGCTCAAATCCAGTAACATTATTAATGTTGACAGTGACTGTACTACCCGATCAGTAGGTCCAACGCCCATACAATATAATCATTTCTTGCCCGTAGTCCTACTGGTAGAGCCACGGACAAAAACAATGCCCTTGGCCACTACAAGTAGAACTACGCAGTGGGACCACAGGAAATGAATGGTTCCAACACTAAGTATTCCAAACGTATGCTATATTTCCCAGAAGCGCGACAACAACAATATTAAGAAATATTGATGGCGCCAAAATGCGCGGTCTGCGAAGACTATCCTCTTTATTCGTTAATGTTAAAGGTTATAGTCTATTTAACGCTTGATCACCAGACCCACTTCACTGAATTCCTTTTCGAAATAGTACTGCTATTAATGCTGTCGCACATAGTCTTTGTTGAGGTTTTTTTTATAGAGGAATAATTGTTAGCCTAAATTAAACATTTAGGGTCGTATTCCAGGACTGTACTCAACACTCAAGTCAGGATTTGAGCAGCCTTGAGTATGATTTCAAGCACTGAATACAGACGACCCTAATGGCAAGGACTTGAGTATGATTTCTAGTGCTTTGAATCATACTCAAGTCCTGACTTGAGCATTGAGTAGAGTTCTAGAATACGACCCTTAATCTTGGTGCTCGCAGCGACGAGGTAACACCGTTAGGTAAACGAGCAACCAACGAGTGGTAAGTACGCGTTCGTGAGTGGTAACCGCACTGGCATGGCAATGCACATACTGTCCTATATCAAGTATACACATGTATCCGTCTACTAATTTCCCATAATTTAAAATAAGGCTAGGGAGTGCTAGTCTGGTGCCCCGGCGTTAAATAGATGAAAATCTTAATAATGCAATTGGTAATTGTCAAAAAATGGTGCCGTGTAATCGATAGGTTTTAATTGCTTACATTATTCTTCGTGGCCAGTACCCTATGTATGTAGCTACTTTAAAAAAAAATTGATCGTGTCCTTTCGGTCTTAACCTTCGTGAAGACCAGACCACGAAGTGAAATAATCAGCAGCAATGTTTTTAATGACACTGGTCTACTTGTACACCAAAGTGAATATAAAAAGTTAAAGGGATGGGAGAAAAAACCGAAAGGAAAAATAGTAACAAATACGACCTAAAATTGGATTGAATTGAACGAGGGTCTGGTGTCCAGTACAGTAAAATTATTAGTAGTATATCTATTAGGTACATAAAATCGGTGCAAAAAATTAAGTAATCAATTTTTGTACCGATTCATCCATAATTATGTTTTTTTTTACATAGTTTATAGTCCGGTAAACAGGTAGGAAAGTCTAATTGTTCACATTCTGAGAATTTCCGCTGAGTGATTTTATTTGATTATGCCTTTTTATTAAATCGAAATGTTATGATTATTAACTTGAAGCCTGATTCGGAATTCATTGAATTTATCCTAAAACATGAGAGAATTCTGAAATCCACGTTTTACAGAATTATTTTTTATTTTTTACATTTCCATTGCTTGAACGATTAAAACGCATTTTTTTTTTATTTTAAACAGTTTTATTTTTTTCCAGAGCTAGGCTTCTTAATGAGAAATCAAAGGAAAAAGAATCTTGTTACACAAAACTTGAGAACGACTTGCGACACGCACATTCCGCAATAAACGTGTTGCAAAGCGATTTGCTGAAATCCAATGATGAATGTAAACGGTTAGAGAAGGAATGGGAAGGGTACAAGCACAGAGTGAAAAGCATGCTGGCGGCGAAGGATAAGGAGATTAAGTCTATGAAACACGGTATACAGTTCAACGAAGATACCAAGGTTTTGATGGATAAAATTGAAAGTGTTAAGTAAGTACGTAAGGATTTAATATCCTTCTGCCCTTTTATAGAATAGAATAGAACATAATAGGATAGAAAAATTATTTATTCGATGAAGGCAGTAACATGAAGAAAAAAGAGAAATACAGAGTAAAAAATTAGGCTTAACAAAAAAACTACTCTGCATGCCCCGCCGAATAGGTCAGCATATGCGGAGCACGGTATACTCCGCGCTGATTTTCAGTTGGCAACCTTAATAATAACTAATAATATATAACAACATACAATAAAATTAAAATAATTAGTAATGGAGAACAATTAAGGGGTCATAATAATTACAAGAATACAATATAAGTAAACATACTACGACAATTAAATAAGAATGTAAATATTACACAACTATAGGTGCAACAATAGGTGCAATGTAACATAAGCTAGGATTGTCCAGAGACTTTTCTTATTATTTGGTGTCTGTGTATTATGTCCGTTTCGACACAAATCTTACTTTGTGTCTTATATTTTACAATATACCTAGTACTCTGCCTTTGGGTTTACTTTAATATATTCGATTTGTAATTGTATGCTTATTGTTTGGCGGATATAGCGAAACTAGACTTACATTGTTTAATGATTAATTAGATTAATGATTTGTGAATTATGATTTTTGGTCAATGATAACACCAATTAGTACCTAATTTAGAATTCTGGTTTGTAAGCTGTTTCTAATTCTTATTAATTCTTAATTTGTGATCTGGTTTTGGAACTCGAATAAATGACACATAACATGCTGAACTCTATTACACACTTATATGCGTCGCATGTGTTATTACGGCAGGTAGCAAGTGTGTGTTGGGTCTGGGGTGAGTGTTGCTATAAAACAAGGGAACTGTCATGTGCGATGGGCTTTATTTTTTAACCGATTTAAAAAAAGAGGAGGTTTTCAATTCGACAATTCGATAGTTTTTTTGTGTATGTTACGCGATTACTCCGAATTTGTGAACCGATTTTTATGATTCTTTTTTTTTTGGAAAGAGGATACCCTCAGTATTGGTCGTCCGATTTAAATTTGAAAAAAGTATTCCAGCACTAAGGATGGCAAACTTGGGGATGAAACCAGTTACGCGCATTTTCCGGTCATCGATTTCAATAAAACTAAAAAAATGAACAAAAAATAAAATAAAATGTGTATTTCAGTAATACTATTAACTTTACTTTGCAGTGGATTGTACCTGCTATTGAACTAATCAAGCCTGTGGCAGGAGGCACCGCTCTTCCATAGCTATAAATAATAATAATAATATAAATGCACATTTAACATTTTTAAGTTACACTTAATTCAGTGTTTAATTTTTTCATTTCCAAACAACGTCAAAACAAACAATTTTTTAACAATTTTCAACGTTTATAACTTCTAATTTTAAATATAATTTGAATCTTAAAGCAGATGTGTGTGTTAGTGTGTGTGCATGAGTGTGTGTGTGTGTGTGTGTGTGTGTGCGCGCGTGTGAGTGTGGGTGTGCATGGCGTGTGCGTGTGTTTTAACCTGTTGCCATAGAGTAAGAGAGTGGTGTTTTTAAAGCAAGTATTCTGGTAGATCTTCGGTTTCCTCATACGATTTGGACTGTCTTGTGAAAACTTGTCAAATAGATGGTAATTCCACGAACTTTTAGGGATCGGTTTTTTTAAATAAAGTTATTTGTATTAGTCACTATAAATACTTAATTATACGTGTTTCAGTCAAGAGCGAGATGTATTATCAGAAGCGGTAGCGCGAGTCCGCGGCGAGTACCAAGACTTGAAGCAGTACGTGGAAAACCTGGAGTCAAGGCACAATAACGCGGAACGAGTGGTGGTGGCTTTACGTGATGCCCTTAAGGATGAAAGATCGGCGCGCACCAGGGTTGAAGCACAATGCAACGGGTTAGCTAAGGTACGAAAGTGACAAAAGTCGTGGTGAGAAAATCAAATATGTCGTTGTTTCTAGGTATTTTTTTTGAAAATTATTCCTTATACGTACTTTAGAAACTTGCATTCATCTTTTTTAGAAACAGAGCTAATAATGGGACTAATAAAATAGTAAAGGTTCTGCTGACTTAGTAAAGTAAGCGCCCATGCGCTGCCATGCCTTCATGTACATTAATGGCGAATCTGAATTTGATTTACTAGGCAACAATATTTAAATTCCTCTGAATAATACAACCAAACTCAAGTAGACAAAATTCAAGCCGCCCATTTAAGTCAAAACGTAAAAGCTAAATAAATAGAGCGTATTTTGCCATGACAGTTAGACGCACGCGGTTGCCGCGCCGGGTGAGCGCGATGAAATTCGTGTCGAATAAATGCGTCCTAGGGATGAGCAACGAGGATTTTGTTAAGACATTTCAGTATCGAACCCTATTACATTAAGTGCATTGTGTGTGTATTGAGCTTAGCATTTTCAATATTCTTGCTTATTCAATATAAGTTAATTGTTTTCAGGAATTAAAATGCTTGCAAATCGAGTCAGGTCAAACGATCGCCAGTCTTCGCAGTGCGCTGCGCGAGAAGGACAATGAGCTAAGGCAGATACGTGACAGCTCGTCTACGAGCAAGTCAAACTCGATCAACTTGATGGTGTCGGGCGCGCTTAACGTCGCTGACTACGACTGCGGCCAGGACGTCTCTAGCGACGTCAGCAACGACGCTACCTGCATGCATGACAGCGAACACAATGAAAAGATCTATTACTTGTCCCAGAAACTAGTTCAGAGGCAAAGCAAGATAGATTCGCTGCTGGCTGAAAACAATTGCGTGAAGATACAGTTGAAGCAGCTACAGGTAAAGCCAATCAAAAGATAATTTATATTGATATTACTTGTTCTATTTATTTATTATACAGATACTTGTTCTATCTTCGGGCATAGTCATTTTTTCATGCTTTTTGCTACGTCGCCTTCGGGCTTCAGACTGTTTCTGAAACACTTAACAATTTTTAAACATTTAGTATACCATAAATACTACTGCCATTTCTCAGAATATCCTAGCACAAAATTTTAAAATAAAATTATTACGACGCAAATTAATGTGATATTTGAATAAATGAACATTAAGTTTTCTATTACAGTCGAAATGCAAGAAAGAAGAAGACGCTTTGCGAACACAGCACAGTGTAGTGCAGTTACAAGACCACCATGGTCATCGGTCACGCTCAACCGCTGCAGTAGACCCCACTTGGGTGAAGCTAAGCAAGAGGATGGGGGTCATCATGCGTCGGTTTCCTTTATTGAGAGTCTTCTTCATTGCATATTTGGTGAGGATCGTTGCGTTGTTTTTATCTGACGCCCAAAATTTGCTTATTTTGTGAGCTTTGCGTTGATTTGTTTGAAAAAAAAAAACAGATGTACGCGATTTGGGTCCGAATAAGTAGTTTTCTTTTCAATATCTTCTTTAAGTAGATGATGTATAGCTTTTGTTTGAATAGAACCCTTAGCCTCATACTTCTTTGATGAACAAACAAGTTTATACCTATATAACAGGGTATGTAGTTACATTTCTCACTTGCGTAAACAAATAAGCGCACATGCAGTGCGTTCGCGGCGCATTCGTCAGATCTGTATGCACCCTAAAACAATTTCTTTTATATTTCGCACCCCTCATGGAAGAATGGAATAACAGCGAGTTACGTCAAAAATGTTTATTGCTCCATCAGATACAGAAAATATAACGCACATCCTCTCCAATTCCTGTAACTCTATCTACAATTTTAGTCGATAGAGTTACAAGAATTTGAGAGGATATGGGTTACATTTTTCTATATCTATTGGAGCAATTAACGTTTTAGACGTAACTCCACTTACGCCATTCTTCCATGTGGGGTGCGATTTTAAGTGTCAAACGGCCTTTTGTTTCATATTGTTCGTGGGTACGATATAATTTTGTTATAATTCGTATAAATCACTCATTGTTTCAGGTGAGCCTGCATTTTTTAGTACTCACGGTACTTCTGTCTACTACGCCCGATGTCAATAAGCCACATACTTACTATAAGAGTAAGACCTACCCTTTAGGGGGTGCTATTAACTAATGTCTAAGTTTATTCCTCTTTTTAAGGCAAAGGTAGACGGACACTGTAACGACATCACAATACGAAGGTACGTCGTATTAGTGCCCCATAATATGACGTAGGCTCAGAGGACGGTATTTTTCGACGCGGATATATAAAATCCCGTTCTAATCGCGTTCCATTTGTATACTTGAAGGAATTATGCACGCGAGCCCTGCTCACGTTATGCAGAACGTTTATCACTACGCATAACTTTTCCCATTACGTCGTGACTGGTAAAAATCAGCAGCAGTGCTATCCGTATTTTTTTCTTGTATTGGTAAATAACAATTTATTTACGACTTGAAATTGAAAATTCGAGAACCCTTGTCTACTAGCTCACGAAGTTATGGCGTCTCATGATATTGATATAATAAATCTGTATTATGTATTACTCTGCACTATATAAATAAAGAAAACAATAACTGAATGTGTCTTAAACAAGTGTTTTTTACTAGTTTTTTTTTCATCTTTCGGAAAACGAAAGAAACTCCTCTCTTTATCCCGTTTAGATGACGATAAACAGGTCTACATAGCACAGTTCACAACTATTGTAAATAGTAACATGAAATGATGTTATATTAAAGTACCAGTTTCATAATGAATAAATGAAAACTATATTCAAATATCACAGTCGTCTTAGCGCGAAAACGGCTCGCCGACAGCCTTATTGCCGATTAGTCAATGTGCGGGGTGTGGTGCGGTATCTAAAGATAGGGAGGGGCGGAGAGTGTCCGTTCTAGTTACTTTTTTGTTCTCTGGTATTACTAAAGCAGTGCAACGATAGTAATAAGGTGGAACAAGACTCACTATTCACTATTCAGCGTAACGTGAATCGGTGTAACGAGAATATTATATGGCTTTAATAGCACCAAAGTGAACGTCACTTACATGGCGTATAAGTCTAACTAAAAACTTCCGACTATATTTGAGCTGGTTATTGTATTGGTATATAATATTATCTTCCGCGCGAATTATGCCTCTTACTGATGCCGTATTTTAATTGTTTTCGTAACGTTCGTATTAACGTACGATCTTACGCAGCTTTATAAAGCATGTGTAAATGGTTATTCTTCTCTAGTCGGTTACTTTTTCATGTATCGGCTCATTTATAAAATACTAACAACCTTGCGTTGCTATATTACTAACATCATAACAACAACTTTTGCATGACTTACTTTCTCAAACTCGTATCTTATAAACTGTGATTATCCAGGAGATGGCAAATCTTTTTATTTACTTTAAATTTCTTATCAAGGGTGTTAATTTGGATGCATTACTTTTAGAATAGGTAAAAGCCAGTGTGTGAATATGAAGGAAATTTGATGTGAAATCAGCCTGCAAAATTTGTATATACAATCCATTTTTTGTCCATTCAGTCTTTGTGCTTTAAGATGTGAGTTTGAGAAAGTAAGGCGACGTTTTGTTCTATGACTTTTTACAAACCTCCCCGACGACCCTCGTCCCGTCATTCCCCATCCCGTCATCCCCCATCGCGTCACCCTTCGCCCCGTCATTTCTTCCCCGTCATGCGTTTTTCAACGTACTGGTATTTACGGTAGCGCATTCTTTTGATACCGTACAGACTTATCGTCGTTTATTATAGAGCAGTCTATTTCAATATTTTTATTTTGTACTAAATTAAATTCTGATAAATTATTAAAAGTCAAACAAAAGTTTTTTATGACGGTAGTTAGATGGTACTGCGAGGTTGTTAAGTATACACATCAAAAGTGTCTAGGGATCAAGCACGTTTTAGTACCTAAGTAATAAAATATTTAAACAAATACGTTAATCCGTAGACACTTTTGATGTTGTATTTTACAAATAACACTGCATATGAATATAACTCATTGTTAGGACGAGATTAACACGAGCCCAAGTTGTGAAGTGTCAGACGGAAAATTTGCGTAATGGTAGTTACGACGCTTTGTCACAGGACAAAATGTGGAGAAATGATTTTTTGGTAGTGTTATTTAGTCCGATTACCAGCTGAATTAGGGTCGGAGCTTTTTGTTGCACATGTATCCCATACTTAATCTAAAGCAATAGTAATGTGATCTTTTAACATTTAGTGAGAATAAAGGTCTATCTACACATATCCGGGCCGTGCCCGGGACGTGGACGAACCGAACTCCGTTAGGGGCTCAAAAAAATATCGTTGCGTGTATTTTGTATGGACTCGTTCACACATGTCCGTGTCCTGGCCGGCGCCGGGACGGGCCCGCAGTTCATACAAACTAGCACGCCCCGTCCACGTCCCGGGCACGGCCCTGGTGGGTGTGGATAGTCCGTAAGTCACGATTTTAAATTTATATCTTATTGTTGTACATAAAATTAGTATTAGTATATTTAATTTGTATTATGCAATGGAACCAAATTTATATACGTATGTTGGTGCACGTCAAAAAACTTTTGTAATGTATTGCGAATGTGCAATACATTGACCTATAGGTCAATGGTGCAATAATAATTTTTTTGACGTTTGTGGGAAATGTGGGCTAAGTAATAAATTTTACTGTAAATCTTGATATTGTTTTGATTTTACCTTTGCCATTTACAATTTTGTTAAAATATGTATGCTTTTTTTATATAAACATTACTCAACCACATAATATTATAACACTTTATACCTTACGCTTCGGCTATGAAGACAAATTACGTGCAGTGTTACAAAATGCACAGAAAGTATATTCTGACCAACTTACAAGTCTTGGAATCAAGCGGTTAGTACGTAAATATTCAAAGATAGATGTCCTAAAGTCGTATTCCAGAACTCTACTCAATGCTCAAGTCAGGATTTGAGTAGACTTGAGTATGATTTCAAGCACTGGAAATACGACCCTAATGGCAAGACTTAAGTATGATTTTCAGTGCTCACTGCAATACTCAAGTCCTGACTTGAGTATTGAGTAGAGTTCTGGAATACGACCCATAGAAACCTTTGGATGGAGCTTACTAAACTTTCAATGGGTTCAATCCCGTTCAACAAGTTCAGTCAGCTTCTGGGTACACTTCAAACAACAATAATTATCCATGTGTAAAATAAACCCTTGAGTTTCTTATTCTACCTCTGAAAATGATATATTTATACTAAGGTTTTTTACGTGTCACAATCACGATAAACATGTTACAAGAATAAGCAAACCCGTACTGGTATTTCCTATTCTCGTAATTTTGAAAGCCGGTATATGTATGTCATAAAAAAAATTGTTTTACAAAGGTCCTGGCTTTTTTCCATCCTCTAAGGTCCTGGCGGTGCCGTCTTTAATATAGGAGGAAAAAGAGTATTGACAAATGTCAACATGTTGTATGTGTCTTAGAATATTTTTTCCATCCTCTAAGCTTAGAATACAAAGACAAATTAGTATAAGCAAACGGATTTAAGTCGTCGTCGTTAAAATACGAATGTAATCTAACCTAACCCTCTTCGAAATTATATTGTTGTCAAACGTATATTTTGTATTTGTGACATGTAAGCGGTGATAGCCTAGTGAAGAGGTCGTTCTTCTGTATAATCTGCCTTAGTGTATATAATATGTCCACCGTACTAACACCTTTTCGGAAACCGGTTTGTTTTGGCGGCAGGAAGTCATTAAATCTGTGTGCGAGACGGTTTGTAATGATTCTGGAAAACAGTTTATGAACATGGCTTTGAGATCGGTCTGTAGTTCTTCAATATTTTAGGCAATATTTTAGGGCATTTTTGAAGGAAAGCACCACCACGCTTCTGCTCTATGCCTGCGGCGAATGTCTCTTGTGTAAGACGGAATTGAATAACTTCTGAAGGGCCTTAATGACCTGTTTTCCATCCGCCTTCAGAAGTTCGGCTGTAATTGCGTCAGCACCTTTGTATGTAGTTTTTAAGACGTTTAAGAACCATACTATTCTCGCACAGCCTTCGCCCGGGGATCTGGTATAGCGGCGGGTCAAAGCAGCTCTCGGAGCGTTAGCTACATTTACGGGTTTCCCTATTGACGTGTAGGTATAAATTTCAAAAGAAATTCTCGACTCGAAGCTCAGGTTTGGATGTGACTATTCTGCCATCTTCAGTCCTCAGTTTTGCTAGTTGACTCGGCTCAATAAACAGATCCCTTGTAAACAACTAAAAGCCCCTGTTTTGCTCTTCTTAATATACGTTCGGTATTAAATCGACGCAAGTCACATTTCAGGGACTGTACCTATTGAGATGATGATATGCAAAAGCATCAACGGATGACTGCAGAATTATTTCACGCCTTTCCTTCATGAGCTCAAGAGGAAGGTCAGATAGTTATTTTGGTTCTGTTCCTACCGTACAGATAATTTCCAAGAACCCGTAGTTGCAATACACCAAACCAAAAAACCAAAGTGCTTTCTAGATAATCGAAACGATTCTGGAGTTCCAGTTGAAAGCTGTAGGGGTTTTGAATTTGGATCGGTAATGGACGGAGCGTTGACTTCATCAGTCGAGACCTCAAGCCTAATATTAAGATTCAATATGCCTCTTATCATACGGTGGTCGCTTCCAGTTTTGTAAATAATATTTATAGGAGAGACATATTTACACAACGTGTTTTTCCATTTTAATTATATATTGTAGTGTAGCGTATATGGTGGACTATGTTTTAAAACACCTCTCTTTAAAAAAGACCCTTGTCCTGCTGGGGGACTACCTATAAAAGTTTGTGAAGACAATAAAGACAAAATACATGTAGGTATCTTTAGTTGTGTTTTCACCGAAACACCATAGGGCTCGTGCAGCGTGCCGGCGATATTTCGCGACTGCGGTCGCACCGACTCGCTGCGACTTGTTTTAACACGTAGAATTAAATGACTTCGTGCAGCGTTGGTCGCGAGACTTGCAGCGATCAGACGTCACACGTCGCTTGCGACCAGTCTTGCCAGGTCAAATCTGAAAAAATTGCACTAAAAAAACAGTAGATTGAAGAAAAAATCAGTAGTTGCTAAACTTGCCTAGAAACACTTTAAATCGATTTTCTTCAAACATTGATTGGTCATTTTTTAACCACGTCATAAAAAGGATGAGGCTCTCAATTCGACTGTATTTTTTTGTCTTTAGCTTTTCTTCCAAGATTGGTGTAATGGTATCTAAGATGTAATCAAATGTAATTATTTTCATTCTGAGATCAGGATACATGTAATAAAATTCTCCAAAAATAGACCGCAAGAATATTAATTGGATGAATATTAAATCTCCTTCTTCTTATGGCACGGACTCGTAAAACGGAATTTCCAACAAAAAAAGTTCTGATACTATATCCATTTTCCCTGTAGGTATGATAATTCTTCAGAGATTTGCTAAGCTCGTCGATCGCCGGTAGTATTTCGCCGCTAGTCGCCCGCACGCTGCACTGTATTTCGTCGTTAGAAGTCGTTGCGAGGTGCTGCGACCGCAGTTATAGGTACCTACTTTTTACTGCTTCTGTTTTTAAAAAAAAACAAGACAATCATTCTTGCGGAGTATACGGGTAGTGTGCTCACCAAATTAAAGATTTGTTAAAAAGTAACGTGATGAAGATATCACCCTTAGTTAATGTATATCACCATTAGTATTAATTTTGAAAGACAGAGTCGCCACACAAACGCCATTTACCAGGATAACCTTATTTGCGATATATATAGATGCTATAAGCGAAGAAGACGCGACGCGACAAAGGTCGGCAAGGAATTACCTTTCTGTGAAGTTCCGGTGAAGGCTGCACGGCGGCGACAGACGACGACGCTCGAAAGATCGCGTCGACAGCCGAACGACTCCGAGAACGTGAAGGTAACACTTCATACCTCCGATGTGAACAACCCCGTCTGCGCCCGTGCGACCGCACTCTACGTCCGCTCGGCCGGGTCTACGACATAGACGAGTATAAGTAGGTACTAGAGTAGTTTACGTATGAATAGCTTAACTAGCTTAGCGAAACGGCTTAATAGCGACTTCTTTATATGTAGATAGTTGTGACTGTACGCGGGAACAAACATACTTACTGGACAGACACCACAGACGACTTAGTGACAATTAGATTACATTTCTAAGGGTCGTATTCTAGAACTCTACTCAATGCTCAAGTTCCTGCCATTAGGGTCGTATTTCCAGTGCTTGTGTTTCAATTGCAATCCTGACTTGAGCATTGAGTAGAGTTCTAGAATACGGCCCTAAGGGTCGTATTCCAGAACTCTACTCAATGCTCAAGTCAGGATTTGAGTATGATTTCAAGCACTGGAAATACGACTCTAATGGCAGGGACTTGAGTATGATTTCGAGTGCTTTAAACCATACTCAAATCCTGACTTGAGCATTGAGTAGAGTTCTAGAATACGATCCTTAAAGACGTAATATTCTTACGAAGTATCTCTGCTTCGAAATACTTTTAGATAGGAACTAATCTTGAAATACTTTCAATAATACTTTCAGTAGGTATCATTATATTATTTACTTCATAAACAGAACACGGGGAACTCCTGCAAGATGTTTACAATAAGTGCTATTTGAGATGATTTTTATTTCGAAGTACGCGTAAAAATAGGGTCTCACGATTGCGGTCTTACGGTTTCCTACTACGTCACGTCATAGTTATTTAACAATTAAAATAATTGCTTACCTGTTTTAAAAAATGTTGTTAGGTAATTTTTGAACAGGTTCCGAAATTTAATCTATTAAGTCTATTCTGCGATAAAACAGTACTGAGATGTGAAAACAAAACGTTTTAGTCGTATAAATTTTCAACATTCTATACTTCGTACAAAAAGGTCACAAACTTTGTGAACCCATATTTTTAATATTGTTAGGTACGGATAGAAGACCTTCATTCATTTTTCAGATTATTAGATCATATACTACCACGTTGGCGTACGGATTTTACAATTGTGAGGTGAAATTACAGGCACATGACTTGTCAATTTACGTCTCTGGGTGACGGGCGCAGTGGCAGTGCCCCTCAAATCTTTGCGATGTAAAGCACCGAGTGGCACTGCAACTGTTATGGACAGTGTAGCTTACCATCAGGCGCACGACTAGTTCGCCCAGTCACTTGACATTATAAAAAAAACTTAGTGCGATAATGTTTAATTAGTCGACAGGTTCCAAATTGATTAAAACATATTAGCTAAAACTAGACACTTATCGTTTGAACTCAGTTCAAATGTTTCTGAAAGGTATCTACGCGTAAGCACAAATGTCGGTATGATGACGACCGGTTGATAAACCGGTCAAGCTACCAACAGAGCTATCTTTCGGAAGCCAGGGCCTCTCGAGCCACTGGACAGCGACCGTTACCAAGTCCTTAATTTCTATTAAGCACAATGTTGCTGTTAGTGTACTGAAACGTAGTCACCATTGCCAAAAATCTTTTTGCATTTATTTACTATTTTTAAAATGTCATTTTATAAGGTATACCTAAGTAGGGTATCCGAACTCAAAATTTTATAGCGCATTTTTGTGAAGTGTTTTCATATACGAACATAATTTTTTACTGAGTTACCTCTCATCAAACTTGCGTTTACAAACAAAAATAAGAAATACCAACTATCTTTTTTGTTTATTCATTATTGACGAACTTTCGTCACACTCCGGTAAAAGAGTTCTTCGGGGAGTTGTGTCCAAAAATGTGGCCCTCCATTTCGCTAAAAGCGACTCTGGCGGCCGAGCCATCTTCGGTACACATAGCACGTTGACATTTAGTGGTATATAAGCCGCTGACTTCTTCACACGTATTATTATTTATCAATATTTTAAACGAACTAAAATGCCTTTAATAAGTCAGTATATTTAATACAAAATATACTATTGTTCATAATCTCCTAGAAATTAATCAATCGTTGTTCAGACTGGTTTGAATCAAAATATTCCTCCCCAACCAAGTCCAGGTCTCTGATTTACCTTGAACTAAAGGTTTTTACTTCGTTGTTTTTCCTTATTTTACGAGCCGAAATGTCTTCGAGTCTGTGTTTAATTCTTTTTATTGGTAAGTATGTGCTTTATTATGCGGTTTTAACTTTTGGGTTTTAGAGTTAACGTAATAGTATCTATGTTATAATTTGTAGGTAGATTTAGGACGAGGTTATCACGTGTTTTAAGTATGGGTAAGGGTGATCTAGCAAATGTATATAGGTTATTCTTATTATCACATAGGTAAGAAACAAGTTCTATTAGAATTTGGAATGTTCGTTAGATGATTGTTTATTTTAGCCACGTCCACTGGATTGTACATAATGACCGCCGGCTATCTGAGGTCGACAATAACATTAACGCGTCTCGTACCAAACACTTATTTACGATTTAAATGTTATGTTTGTTCACATATCTGTCCACCAGAATATAATAGAGCGTTAGAAAGATTTATTACGTAACGCACTTTGTCGCCACGTCACGTCCTATTTATAAAAAAGACGGTAACCGAAGAATTATAAATTTTCAACGGTGGCCATGTAAATTTTGAAGTACTTAGGAAGAAAAAAATATGTGATTTATTTGTAAGTAGGTTGTGCCTATGAATATATGTCATACCGAATATGTGAAATGACAAATTAACATGCAAATTAACATGTCTTTTTTGCAGTTCCTTTGGCGTTGTCAGCGAACAATTCTATAGATTCTGCAACACTGCAAAACGTGTTTGGGAACCCCCCTCCAGCAGGACAGGCATTAGCTGTTACTCCCAGCAATGGCAACTTGGTCGACCCTGATTATTGGGATTCAGATGATAAACACATGCCTGCCAAAGCGGACTACGATAAATTCGACTTTATGTTGACTAAGGTAAATTAGTAGGTATCATTGTAACTTTTCGCACTCCTCTGGGCCGGGAATTGGTGTCCCAGCGTTAATTTTTAAAACGAAATGTTATATAAAAATGACATGTTCTAAACTTCGATCATTTGTACTGGTATATATTATACATATATATAGTATATATGATCGAAGGTTCTAAGGTACAAAGTAGTATTGCGGTTACTAACTTTTTGGCGATAAGTATTTGTAGCTCACCTATGTTAATAATTTGGTATTTCCGTATTACACCATACACAGTAGTAAAATACTAGTGGATATAGAACGTATACAGGCTGTCTCATGCCCACAGTTACGCTACAAATACTGTAGATAGGATATTTTGCTTCATGGAGGCATTATTTTATTTATAAAAGTAAGTAATGCCGCATTTAAAGATTTTCAAAGTCTGGCTTGCCCTACCTGTTACCCCGTTAACAATCTAGGTTTTATGTCCATTACCGCAGTAGGCTAGCACGATAAGGCGCGACTGGCGCGAGAGCGACATAAAGCGCGAGATAATGCTGTACTCCCATAGATAATAGCAATATGTCGCGCTTCTATGTCGCTATCACGCAAGTCGCGCCTTAGCGTGCTAGCCCCGCTGATGCATATTTATTCAGACCTCTTTTTAGCTCGTACTCTCGTTAGTAACTACATGGACTAATATTAGGTAAGGTGTGTATGTTTGTTGCAGCGTTTAGCCTCGAGCTCTAGCGAGAACTTCCTCCTGTCCCCACTGGGCTTAAAGCTGGCGCTGGCTATCCTAACCGAGGCGGCCACGAGCACCACGCAATCGGAGCTGTCCTCCGTACTCGGCTTCGACCTTGATAGACTCGTCGTGAGGAGGAAATTTGCTGTTATCCTTGACTCTTTGACGGTATGTATACACAAAACTTTATTCAGAATTTTGGTCCTTACGACAATTTCATAGTATCTATTCAAATTGCAGTTTACTTAGTTTCCAGTGAGCGTTTCTATTAATTGGCTTAACCTATAGGTGTGTGTACCTAATATTAGTTTAACGAGCTAAGGAAAATCTGCTAAGCAAATTAACGCTATTCAGAGAAACTTGTTTCCATACTTACGAGGAAAACATATTTTACCTACGGTGATTTACCGCCATGTTTGTGTAAATTATATAGATTTTTTAAATCGAAATTAAAAACACAGTTGGTTAGTAAGTACGAACATATTGTGTTGTTTACAAGAGAGCTAAGCCGTGAGGAAAAATATGTATCTGTGTTTATAATGTGTCAATTTGATGTCGATTGTAAAAGAGTAAAACTGTTTCCAAAACTACACTTGGGACCAAATAACCGTGTCACCACTAGAAAAATATTCAGCATCAAATGACGAAACGACCAGCGCAGTAGCTTGATTCATGTCCTAAGCACATTTAATAAACTTTGATGTCTACAAACCCATCTAAGTTGGATACGATTAAAATGTATTTAGTAAGTTTTTTTCTCTTAAAAAGAGTCCTGTACTTAGCAGTGACAAGAGGATGAAATGATAAAGTACATTGCTACTTTTAAAGCTATAACCGACCAGTGTCAGCGATGTTGGTTAGGTACTTAGAAATTGTAGCGATTACATTATTTAGAATATTATTAAGTATTTACAACAAATGGTATTGCTGTTACTTTTAAACAAATAAATAAGTAACGCCGTTACTTGACGATGCGCGTGCGCAGTGATAATGGTGGCGGCGTCACCTTCGGCTATTTCCGCCGAACCGTACGCACATTCCTGCGCTCTCGTTTTTTTGAAGGGTCAATGTGCCTGGACCGATCCCGAGGTTAAAACGTCGCGCTTGCGCCGTTGAATAATGGTACTTTCTTTTGTTTACGTAAAAAAATAATAGTGTTTCATTTCTGTCACATACAACACAATTCCCTATAAAATTAATATTTCATATTAAATTATATTTTTTCTTAAAAGAAAACCTATGCAGTGGGTTTGTAGCACTATATTTTCTCGCAGACAAAATCATCGCAGTATATCCTGAATTTGGGTAATAGAATCTACATCGACGACTATGCGGAACCGCGTCAGAGATTTGCAGCAATTGCTGAGGAGTACTATAAAACGGAACTGAAGAAGATAGACTTCAACGACGCTCCTGCGGCCGCGAAGAGCATCAACGCTTGGGTCGCTAACAAGACTGAGGGAAACATACATAACTTGGTGAACGAAGGTAGATCGTTACATTAACTCTTAGGCAGCATAAGTACGTCAAAATACCTACCAATTCGTAGCACTAACTGTAAAATTGTTCCATTTTACCTTTAGATGACATCCAGAACATCGTGGTACTAGTCCTGAACACCATTTACTTCAAAGGCACGTGGCGTGATCAATTCGCACCTAATGCGACTAAGAAAGGCCCGTTTTACGTGTCTGACTCGCTACAGAAGCCAGTCTTTTTCATGAATGTTAAGAACAAGTTCTATTACGCCGAGTCTGCGAAATATGATGCAAAGATCGTCAGAATGCCGTATTTGGTAAGTTGTTATCTTTTGAAACCGTAATTTGAATCTTCACACATCTTTGACAATTCTTCGTTTAGCAAACAATACCGCTCAAGTAAAAAATAAACGGTGTATACTTTTGAACGCAACTCCTTTCCAAATAAAACACTAATATCATTAAAAATAATATAGCCAATACAATTAAATGTTTTCCAATAGCTTAAAAACTTCATCAAACTTTTAAAATTTATCCAATGACTTGGGCGGTGTTATTTTGCTAAGCGTCACATTTTTTTTGAGTATGCTGATTACTATTTGTGGCAGGGTTGTGGCTAATGCAGGTTTTTTACACATCAGCCGATGCTGACTTTATTGTTCTATTTTAAAAAAACGCGAAAAATGTACATTAACTGCCTCCTTGGTCGAACTATGGTTAACATGCTGGACTGTCACGCAGAGGTCCGGGGTTCGATTCCCGGGTTGGGAGAAATATTTGTATGGCCTATATTTATTTCGCTCGTGACTTTGG